TAGCCAAGTTTTGTTTCAAAGTGGTTCCAGTGAATTTACTTGTTCGCTCATTCGTTACAAACAATTGAGTGATCATAACAAATACTTATCTAACAATGCCGGTAAGTTTGGACGATTGTCATTTTATTGTTTGTTTTAGTGATTTCATTGTGTGCGTATGTATTTCAATCAAGATCAGTTGAGTGAGATACACACTTCTTGCAGCCTTTTCACGGTTGATCTAATTACAATAACTCGCCTTCCTCCTTGTCGTCACTCTCTAACTGAGATAAACGACTTGGCTGGCTTCACCAGACATTAAAAACTTGTTTGACATGTTTTTGGCGAGAATATGCATGTGGCTCGGTGATCTCTGCGATCACACTTATGTATATTTAGATTTAGATCAACCATGAACATGGTAAATAGAACATTACTCTTTTTCCACGGTGCACTCACGGTTTTCTGAAATGTGATTGAGTTGCATGCGTGTGTCACTGGGTGCGCCTCTTGAGTAATGGCCTTTTAGTCAAAAAGAACCACATTGACATGAACATGTATAAACACTCTGTCAAACATTGGGTAAACGTCTCTTTTTTCAGACCTTTTAATTCTTCACACCTCCTGCGAAGCATGAACAAGAGTTTGATTACTTTTTGTCAACTAGTTTTTTACATCAGTTGTTCTCTTCTTCCTTCTTTCCTTCGGGGTCTTTTTCACGGAAAGCAAATAAGTTTGAATCGGAAGTGTAGGCAGTTGATGCGCTACGACGATCGGGTGGGATGAATTTTTGGTTGGCAGTAGGAATTCAAATATTTGATGTTTATTTGTAAAATTGCTTTCACTCCTGGAGGAAATATTCTATTTCTGTATTCAGCGTCCATTTCTTTTTTGGCACGTGTTGGGTGCTAGGTTGACATGTCGTTCTACGGCATTTCTATTCCTTTCGCGGTGTAGTTGCTTGATAGCCATATCGATGTTTTACTCATGCTTAACAGGTTTAAACCTAAACTAATACATGCATCACCAGTTGTAACACTTTCAGTGAAATGTGTAAGCTTGTACCACCTGCTTGTGTGGTGTTTGTTGTTCCGTGATAGCACAATGACACGATGGTTAGCTTCCTCTAAATAAATGTGTGGTGGCACGAGAATCGTACATTTTGAAGGATCCAGCCTTTATTACTGAGGATGAGTTGAATCCCAAGGTTTCGTTGAAGACGGCTGCTGCCCGTCACCCACACCGGGTGCGCTTTCTCCGTTCTGAGAGATCAAGATGTATAACTCGTCGCGTGCCTGGCGAGCCCCAATGTCTCTCTTACCCCACAGTAAAAAACCGAGTTCTTTGGAGTGTTTGAGTTTTGAGACTGCATTGGAATTCGAAATTTGTGAGTGTCTGTGTCCAGACTATTTGATTGAATGTGATTGTCGTCCTTCTCTCGTTTTCTTTCCCTCCTTTGAGCTCCCTTTTCGCACTGGGAGCGAGATTATATACGCAGCAGAGATCCATTCATTCATACTTTCCTTCCGCTACCTTTTTACGACATTTCTTGTCTCCCTCCTCTTCCCTCTCGTTCACTCGCTCCGTCCAGATTACGCAACAAAAGTGTTCATTTACGAAAAGTGGTGGCCGGTTGAGAGGGAGGATGGACCAGAAAACATGAATTGGATTGCATCACATACAGACAAACCAGAAACATTCCGTAACATGACCATGACGTCGCATCACTACGAACGACGGGAATTTGGTATGGTGTAACATCCAGGGAAAAAAGTTTGCTTTCCGCTTTATCTGTGTTTCCATTCACTCTTTCCTCCTCGCACAAGTATTTCTCAGGAGTCCCTGCCGGCTGGCCAGCGTGGAATTGTAAGGATACGGATTCCTCCCCTCATCTTTCTGGTGGCAAAGAAATGGATAACGTTATACGAGTTGAATTGGTATTTCATTTGGTAGCAGATTTTTTCAGGGGTTTGTTGCTTCGACGGACTTTCACTTGTGTTCTCTGCACACGTTTATGATCTAAATTATTATTGCTTATTGCAGTAGTTTTGGAGAACAAAAAATGAAATCAAGAAGGAATGTTGATGTCCCATGCTTTCACTCTTCTTGATGGCTCATGATGATAGCATTTGGATGGATGAGCATTTAGCTTTGGTTGCTCGTGGGATGAAATGCAACGCAATATATTGTTATGAGCTAAACATTTGTGTTGCTTGGATGGGTTTTAAGCCACTGACTTTTACTGGTGGTCGGTTCGTGGGACGGTTTGTGTGCGTGTGTGTATTGTAGAACTTTGGTATTCAACTTTAGAAGTGATGTGATTGTTATGGTTGGCCACCCTCTCTGTTATGTTTTCTGAGCAAGAAGGGTTGTGGGATATTATTACGAAGACCTCGATTCACTACTAATCCATTTTACTTTTAATATTCTATTCAGTCTCATTCTTAACTCGGGCCATTACAGATTTAGAATTGTATGCAGGAGATGACGAAGTGAGTGGAAAAAGGGATATTGAAAATATAATATGTAGGGGAACAAACTTCGAACGAATGGATGAAAATATTAACATTGCGCACATTACTCATTTTTCCATCCTGGTTGGGTGGCATGACTCGGCGATATCGAAGTGAACGCGTTATTAAGTACACAAAGGAAATTGGAATCTTAATAGGAGAGAGTTTGTGAATGAATTTTTTGGGTCTATTTATTTGTAATTGGAGAAGAATTTCTCCTTTTGCTCTTTCACCAACGGAAATCGAACTCTGCAACAGGATCGGGATTGCGGGTGGTTGGTTGGTTGGTGACGAATTTTTCATATTTATCCTCTGGGTCGTCTTATCGGGTAGGACCATACTGGATTCATTCAGCTAGGTTAGCGAGTCTTTCGAATGACGTTGCTTCCCTTCAGTGTGATCACCGTAAATAAGATCCAACGCCATATGGGGTCGACTAATAATGCGTATATTTTGATTCTATTGTTTGTTATACTCGGAAATAGTTGTCGTTGCCCTCCTATTACGAAAGGATCAGAAAATCAAAGCGGATTTTTCCTCCTATGAATTTTCTTTACCTCCTCCATTTCTCTCTCTTGTATTCTGCACAACGGCCACCGAGAGAGAGAGCAGCGTGGATGTGCACCCTTTGGGCAAAATTGAATAACTTTCTTCGCCCCTACCTTTGTGTGCGTATTCTGTGCTGCTTCTGCGTCTGCTGCCGTTCCAAGCAACTTATTAGGGGGGATTAGGATTATAGAGATGGAGCACGTCATCCGAGAAGGGTGGGACACAGAAATGACGGAAGTGCAGTTTGATGTAAAAGATGTGACTGAAGGTTAAATGTCGAATATCTGTTGTTCCAGGAATGCAATTTAGATTTCTGATTCAATGCTAATGCTGTTGCTCATCATCGGGCATCAAGCGAGGAGGTCCCTTTTAGAAGGAATTGAAATCCGGGAGGTTGAGCCGGCTGCTGGATGTCACTGCGAAATCCTTACAATAAACCAGGAGGGATCAGCTTAGTAAAATTAAATTGAAATGAAAGGGATGGATGGATGGATGAAAATGAACTGAGAAAGGAATGACAGAAATTGTCAGTCAATTCATGCAGCATCCACTGCAAGACATTCTGCACGCTCGGAACTCCGTCTTCTCCAACTGTGAATGTTCCAGACTCAATTCACTCAATTAGCATATGCACTGTTCAACCAGCTACAACGACTACTACGAAATGACAGCCAGTCCTTTTCACTTCTCTTAATTCCATCCAATCCAGTAGTGACTTGATTTTGAGCCGGCTGAACTACTGCCGGGCATCCTGCATTAGGACGGAAAGAAGTCAATGTAACTGATGGCTGGCTGGCTGGCTGCGAGGGAGAAGGAGCACAGTTCAATAATTAATCACTATTTGATGTTATTTCAAAGAGGATTAGTAAGTCTACCCGAGTTGAAAAGGAATTAAATGAGGATGATTCAATAAATGGGATGAATAATCTATTCATCAAATGAACTGTTGAATTCACATCAAGTTACAAGTAAAATGGGAAAAGTAGAAACGGAAAAAAGTTTTATAATTAACTTTCAATGAAGTACATACAAAGTCGCCTTTCACATCGTGCCCTCCCCTCGTCACGTTTTATTATCACTTTATCCTGATTTTCTAAATCTACATGTTTAGCATTCAATTTAATTTATAACATGTTACTCTGTCAGCTAGAAAATTGGTCCCTTGAGCCGTGCTTGAGGTACTCGAAGAACTTGATCAGACAGAGAATTGTCAAATATTATGATTTGATATTTTTTGATGCACTTTAATTGCAAATACGCAACCGAACCTTGAGTTGTTGTAAATTGAAGAGAATACGGGAGTAAAAGAAATGCAACTTTCTTCAATAGTGTGGTAGAAAGGTTAGTTTAGTGCTGTTCAAATGACGCCCACAAACCAATGACTTGGATGACACAGAAGTGATCCTCTTAAAAATAAGGAGCAGTTTTGGTGGTACGCACGAAACGTGTGTACTGTGGAGGAAACTTTGGAAATGAGAATCTCGAGTTGAAGAAAAGAAACAGGCTGGAGTGCTACACGGGATGAGGAAAAGTTAAAAAGTTGAGGCAAAAAATTAAGGCTTTTATGGGACGAGTTGGAAATGGAGTTGTGTTAAGTTTGGTTAGTTGGTTGGTGTTGAGTTGTAGAGCGCCGTGGTGTAAGCCAAGTTTATGGAATGCGGACCACGCTACTGACTAAAAGGAGATGAGATTTCTAGGAAACATTGGTTAATTTGTTACATTCTGAGAGGGAGAAAGAGAGAAGGAGGAGACTCCTCTGATTGTGGAATGAACTGAACAGCTCATTCATTCCACTTCCCAACAACAGCTCCTTCTAATTCTTATTGTGAAGGAGAAGAGAGGAAAAAGAAATCGGAGAAAGTCCGGACATGAGCTTTGTTTGCGAAGGAGGCGGATAACGAATCGCCGTCTCACTCTCTCCCTGGTTAACGTAATTAATGAACTAATTGGATTTTTTAGGGTGATAAATGGGGACACCTTTGCTGTGGGAGACCTACCTGAAGGTGATGCCATCAAAATGTTTGTTGGCCAAGTACCCAAGCACCTGAATGAACCCGAATTGCGTTCCCTATTTGAAGGTATGTTCCATTTACTCGCACAAAGTATTACATAATTTTTGAACAAAGTAACAAATTGTGATTGGTTTTCGGTCTGCTTATATGCAGAATTTGGACGAGTGTTCCAGATCAACGTGCTCAGGTACGTATTTAGTTATTCTTTATATAATATGAGAACAATATATAGTACATATACTCAGAATTTAATGTTAATTAATTCATCTCTTTCAGGGACAAGGTGACCAAGCAGAGCAAAGGTAAGCATTTTACTACCCTTAATTAACTATGTAGCATCAATATTCCTTTACATCGTGTTTATCAAACCTCTGCCATCTACTCTAAATTGTGGTGCCATAAATTGAAACCCGCAGGGAAATTAGTGCAACCAAACTTAGGTTTATTATCAACATGTACATAGCATACGCTACTACTATGTCAATAAGTTTTGCTGCGTTATCCATGAAAATGACACTGAGGGTATTCACGCACCCTTGGTAACTACGTAAACAGCGTAAAATCCGTAAACTTACAAACGTTTACAAACGGCTTCCCGTGAATTCACTTTTGCAATTATTTTCGTAAAAATTTATCTGATAATTTAAACAAAATGCTGATCATTTCCAGAAAACGGAAATTAATGGAAGAAATTTGTGGAGCTGCATTTATTGATATAATATATACCACGAACAGTGGAGGCTGTTCCTATAAAAATTTCAACCCTCCTAAATTCTAATCCTAAGTTATTTTTCTACTCCTCACTAAATCTTAGCTGAATATATAACTTCTTAGAAATCGGTATGGGTACCCCTTCCTTATTGTCCATCTGGTTATTTTTTGTTCATCTTTGACTTCATATTCTTTGATGAGAAGCTATTAAGTATCACCGTTCCGAATTTCAGCTTTTTGAGACAAGTTATGAAAATCGGTATGGGTCACCCCAACGGGTCCCGGATGTGAAAATTTTACCGATTTCACTTCATATTCTTCCATTAGGGGCCTTTAGCAGCTTCTATACGAAATTTCAGCTCGATTGGATGATTTTGAAAGTCCGGTATGGGTCACCCCCTCGGGTACCTCTGCTTGAAAAATTTTCCAATTTCACTTCGTATTCTTTGATTAGGAGTCACTAGCAACATATATTGCCAAGTTTCTGCATCGAACAATTTTTTTTCTTCCCCAAATTGAGTTTACAAAATACTTTACAAAATTAAAAGACGCCTGTGAGCTGCGTAAGTTTACAAAAGTTTGTAAACTGGTTTTCCTTGGCAATTTTTGTAAAAGTTTGTAAACGTTTGTAAGTTTACGGATTTTACGCTGTTTACGTAGTTACGAAGGAGGGCGTGAATTGCCTCACTAATTGTCGGGTTAACAACCTGCTTTTTACCAATTTAATTTTCACGTGACGGTAAAATACAATTTTTGAGGGAGGGACTGGTACTTCGATTGGAAAAGTAAGAACCATTGGTAGCACTTTCGAAAATTAGTTTTCTAGTTTCTCTTCCTCTGTTGTTATTAACACGGAGTTTAGAGTTTTGTGAATTTGTCCACTAATTTAAATGAGAGAGTTTGGGCCTGGAATCGTCACTGCTTTTACGGCTTGTTCAAAATCGAATCCAAAGTTGATTCGACTTTGGAAGCTAAAACACAATTTCGACGACTTCCTCTTGTTCCTCATTACTGGTAACAGTATTAAATATAGTTCATATTTCGTGGCCCCGGTAAAACGTTGACTCCGGAGTTGCTGAAGAGAACAACTTCTTCATAACCTCGTTAGACCAGTTTTAGGTAGGAGTGAACAAATGAATTGGGGGGATAGATTATTTATTTAGCTAACGACGCAAGCAAATGCTTTGCCCTTGGGCTCCTCTCTGGCATGGCTAACAAAATAAACTATGATTCATTTTTAACTCCGACTACCGGAAAATGTTGAAGACATACCCCGAAATTGGTTTTCACGGATTTCAGTCATCGAACTGTTGATAGTTCAACTTTAGCTTCCCTCAACTCCGGTCGGTCGGATCCGCGTTGGTCGAAATTTCAATTTAAAATCTCGGCACTTGTGCTTCAGTTTTAACCAAGTTGTGTACCCTGGTGTAATTTCCAGCGAGTTTGAGTTTTTTGCGCAAATTCAGAAGGAACTGAAGCAATAAAAAGAATATACTTTGAAATTAAAAGTGGTAAGATACGTTTGACCTTTAATCCACAAATAAATCGCTAATTAATGAAATATCGTCCCTTTGACAGTCACGAATGTGCGGCTGCATATAAATTAGTTTCTGAAGTAGGTGGCTACAAGCCGTTTTTGCTAATCGCAACTCATAGATTGAAAATAGATTGTGGTTAAAATTTCATAGCCATAAATAAATATAAGTTCCGAACTTGTGGTACAAATATTGTATAATTTCGACTGCAATTTGAAAAATTGCGGAGAGAATTCTGATTTTATTGAAATTGAGCACAGACTGTTAGACACCGTGTCAATATTTTTGTATATTTATTTATGTACGTACAATGTAAGCAATTCAGTTCATGCAGCTCTGTTTTTTCCATTCCATTGACTTATTCCATTATTAATTCAATTGTTAACACCATCCTCACAAGACGTGCACTTATTATTGCTATTAAGGAAAGCGAGCATACATAATCCTGCATATTTATTAGTGTTTGCCTTCCATGAAATTTTATGCCCTGGCATGAACCGAGAAGACGCAGAGGGAAGCAGTAATAAATGTACTTCATTATTGGACAAACATTCTGTGGTGTGGTACATACGAACGTCGCCATCCGTTTTTGAATATTGGTGCAACATTAAATATTGCATGTATTGAATATTAGATTAAACATTCTACTCGCATTCGCAGCGACAATATCGGCACGAATATATATTCTGCTCCAATCCTCAGTTGCACAAACTGGGTAGCAGTCAATCCGTTTGTACATTGTTCATTATATTTTGTTCAATTCAAATTATGGCAGTGGCTCCGACTGCAATTTAATTTGGCAACAAGTTGCAAGTCACCGAGTTGGCAGTTTCAGTTAGTGAGCCCGGACAGTGGACACACGTTGTGCTAGTATTTAGTTGTTCCCTTGCTCTACATAGATATTTATTTATTAAACCCACCAATAGTTGTGCTGCAATAGTTCTGTTTAAAGCAACATATTAAAGAGCTAGGTATTTCAGATAGTAATTTATTCCTTTCTTCGATTTCTTTACCTCAAGTGCAAGCAGTTGGTATTATAAGTGAAAGAAATTTAAGTAAAGAGACGCAAATCCGTACCTTCATCCGCATATCACAATCAGCGAAAAGGTTGGTGAACATTACTATTTATCGCTTCATGAAATAATCCTTAATATGTAGTGGCACACTCTGTTTCAAAACTGGACAAAATGCAGAATGTGACAAAATGATCTTCTTCAATATGTATTTTTCATTTCATGTCGATGTTGAGAAATATTAAGCATGTCCTACATTTTCTTTTGTGATTTTCTGTATGGATTGTGTGGATCCAGCTTTTCCAGATTCTTGGTTTATGTACTTAAGGAAAATCTGGATCTGGAAGTCTTGGGTTGCTTGGAGTGAATTTCTTGATGAAGCTGAAAAATGTAGGGCGTTATCTTGTGTTTGGTATTAAACTGATAGCGCGAGGGATTAGTTGGAAGGTTTGTATGCATATTTAATACTGTAGACCAACCGTAGTCAGGTTGACGTTGATCCTAATGGAGCGTGAAAGGGATGGAATTAGATACTGGAATTTGTCTTTACTGTGCCATGTACTAATCTAATAAGCAGCGAAGAATTACACAACCGTGATTCATTTGGAGATATTATGCACGTTTCGTATGATTTCATTTCAGATTTTTTGACGAAATAGAAAAGAGTTGAAAAGAATTGTTGAATAATTTTTTTGTACAAATTGTCATTACGCAGCAGGGTAGGAGTGAGTGTGAACACGTAACAAGAGACGCTTTCTTCGTCAAAGTTGTTCCTATTCTATCGTGCTGAATTAATGTGGCAATAAAATATGTTACGCTAAAATGCAGTTTAGGTTTCAACTTCCTAAGAACGGTTTCGTGGAATGAGATCGGTCGGATGAGCTATGTAGCAGCCGTACTTATTACAACCTTGTAAACGGGGTAGTAGCAGCTTCGAATGGTAGTGTGAAATATTGGTTTTATTGAGTTCTCTCCACACTCTAAATCATAGCAGCAGCATTCCATTCTATCTTACTCATAGTTGCGTAATGTTAACCAGTATAGGCGCATGGTGGTAGGGGGATAAGTATTTAGTGTTCTTTCAATGCACCTCTTTATCCCCACCTTCCGTGCCCCAGCAGACTCAGGGCAAGCCATTAAACTGAAATGTTACATGTTTTGTGAGACGAAACGAACTGAATGACTGACTTCAATCCTTTAAATATGGCGACACAACTCTGAGGAGAGAAGAATACGTTCAGTTTGATTATCGACGAAACGCGTTCAAACATTATTTCAACTTGAAACTTGCAAATGTACGACTGGACATGTGTACAGGCGTGTATTTACATATTCTCCAGCAGCAGAATACGAAGTGTATGGAAAAATACCAGTAGTACAAAGTACATTGTTCTTTATGAGTATATGCCACAAACCTGAAGATACACTTGATATCTTCTTTCTTATCGGCAACTCAACGTGTTCTGTTTCTTCCACACATACGAAAAGTTAAGTTTAAAGTTTCTCAGTTTGAGTTTAGTTTGACGGAGATCATAAATCAGATTTCCTCTGGTTTATTTATTTATTCATGCATCTAAGCAAACTCTGCCGGCCGTCCGTATTGTGCAATATGGTTTAAACATATAGTCACTTTTACATATGTAAAGGATGAAGGTGGAACAAATTTGCTTTATCAGGCAAACCAAAATATAACCAAACTCAAAATGATGATATGCAAGTATATGCACAACTCGAGCATTGGCATATTGGATGGAATCGGTGGGTGGGAGATTGGTTATCTGGTTCAGTTGACTGGACCTGATAGGCAATCGTCAAATCCAAAGTTTTCGTATAAATTCAAATTTTGAATTAGTATTCTATTCACTCGACTTTGCCCGCATGGCACAGACACACACACACACACACACATCTTTTCTGTATTATTGTAGTGTGGTTTGTTTGAAAAAGTAGTCGTAAACCAATAACGGAGGCAGTATATACCTGGCTGTGAATGGGGGATGTAATTCAATCAGTTTATTTAGACGTGTCATAAAGTTTTAAACT